GCTGGCAGGGGCTCTTCTGTGTGCCTGAGACACCAAGCTGGGGTTTGACAAGGTCCAGGCTAAGTTCCTGGCTCTGCCAAACCATGCAGCCTAGTTACTGTGTTTAGCCAGGTGTTCTGTTGCCTGCTTTAAAATAGTCAGTGATTCTGCACTGTCCATCTACAGGGATGTCTGCATTACAAAGGTGCTGCAGCAACTGTCCTTGGGCGAGGATGGAAACTGAAAAAACACAGCAGGCAATAAAATGCACCACGAGGGTCTACAAGCCCAACAGAGTCACTTGTGTGCAATAAAATGTATGAGACTGGGCACACAACTGTGCAGTGTGGGAGAGGGACCTGACGGATAAGGTGGGTAGGAGACAGGACTCCAGTGTCCCCTGATGCCCTATTTGATACACACAGAGGAGCAAAAGTGACTATTCAATACCAAATCAGCAACACACCCAAAAAGGGCTGCCTTCCTCCACACATTTCTGCACTTGAATGCAGATAGGTCACATCGCGTTGACGCCTGCACAGAACTCACCCCTCACAACCTATTTCCTCAGCTGACAAGAAGCAGACTGAGGTCTTATCTCCTCAGCGGGCATGACTGGCTGGTGCAGAGGGAGGCTGGCAGCTGCACTTACACGTCTGCACCCAGGTCAGCTCTGCAGGTTTTATCCTAATCCACTTCAGGGCTATGCACCTTTCAACACCCTCGGTGTCGAATAACTTCGTGCACCCAAGTGCCATAAACTTCTACAACCACAGTAACTCACAGATGGGTAAGGATGGTTATAAAATTACATCCTAAATTAGGACAGCAAGAGGCTGAGATTGGAAGAGTAGAAGGAAGTTAGGAAATCCCAAGAGAAGATTATGGGGGAGGGATTTAGTCTCTTTAGAAAACAATAATGCAGTTTAATCTATTTTTCTTTTGACTTTACACACCAAAATAAGCTTCTCAGCTTCTGGGGCTGTCACAAATCATATAGAAAATAAGGCCACTGGAACCCCATCAGTAGAAAAAGAGCTATATAGTAATAATCCTGAGGAGCTGCACAGGGCTTTCCATCTTCAAAGTGCTTTACAGACAGTAATGTATTAATCTGCAAATTTCCCCTGGCCATCAGCAACTGCTGTGCCTCTGCTCAGTGCGACACAGACAGGGAGTGCAGATTGGCCCTTGGGAGAGACGGCTCAGGCGGCAGCTCTGACCTCTGGAGCCTGACCTCTGTTTCTTTCTCTCTGAAGTTGCAAGTTCTCTGCTCCAGTCACCACCTGAATCCAGAAGCACCGGTGACATCTGGCACCTTGGAGCCAACTTCGGAGTGGACAAAAGCAGTGCCTGAAAGCCTCTGATATGGGGGAGTGTAAAAGACATGCTCACAATCCAGCAAATAACAGCAGAGCCTGAAATAAAGCTCCCAGGACAGAAGCTCCTGGCTGCCTTACAGCCACTGTGCTGGGGTGTCATTCTGGGTAGAAGCTGGCTTCAGTCCTGGGTTCATCCTACCACACAGCCCATCTGATAGTCTGAGAGTTCCCCAAGGGAGCTATTAGAGGCGTTCCTATGCAAACACATGATTCCTCCCACCAAAGGACTGCACAGCAGGTACCTGCTAACATTTTATACATGTCCTTCAGATAATCAGAATGAGGCTTCTCCTCCTCTCATGGCAGCAACATTCTTCTGCTTTTGCAATTCCCTAAGACAATACTCCTAACGTCGATCCCCTCCCCAGCCCTCCCCCTGCAAGAGCTGAGAACTCTTGGAAAGTAAGAGAGCAGCCTGGTTAGCAGAGAGAGGAAAATGGAACAAGGAGCACAACTACAGATATATCTTCTACATAAGTCAGTATCTAACATTGGCTAGCTTTGTTCAGAAACAAGAACATAACATTATTTTGTATTCACACTGGCTGTAGTGTTCTTTGTCCAACTGCTTTTTCATCTCTTTTAAGCCAGTGTATATTTATATAACTTCAGTAGTGTCAAAGAAATAATTCTAAGACCAGAACTGGGTCCATTGGTTTTTGCAATGCTTCTCTGGATATCAAAACATCGGGTTCGCTAAGTATCCTACAACACAAGTGCAGAGCCTTATTTCCATCTAAGGATGGCTTAGCTAGGCAATGAAAGCAAAAGACCCCAAACACCATTGCAAACACTATGCCAAAGGTCACAAGTAAGGAATTCAAACCCATGCACTGCAGATCACGTACACTCAAGACCAGAAAAGATCTACCCTCACATACAGTATGAGCGAATAGAAGACTTAGGCATCAATTCAGTCTCAGACTCCACATCTTTTACTCTACACTACTCAGATCACATTTCTTTCCTCATACAGTTTGCACCTCCCTTCCAGCAAGTGATTTTGTTTCAGCACCAGCCTCCATACGCAGCAGAAACAGCAGCGCCCAAAGAACAGATGTTTAGAGCCACAGTGCTGTAGGCAAAATCTGGGGGGGGAAATAAAGTTTATGGATTTGCCTCTCCAGTAGGAAGCAGAGTAAAGCATAATGCTGAAGCTTTCTGACACATTGCCAGGGAGACTGTCATCTGTACTGGTTGAACTGGATGGAAAGGCTGCTTGCATCACAGCCAGAGCAGTGCTGGTATTTTAAAGCTGAAATTTAGCAAGTGTTGGCTCTGTGAGCTTACAGAGCAGATGAGGAGCCTGGGACTCAGCAGAACTGGTACCCCTGGCTTGGGTAGTCCCTGGTCAGTGTTGTTGACCACAGTGCTCCACCAAGAAGGATGGCAGAGGCAGGAAAAGTGGCAACAAACCACAGAAGGACTCCTGTCCCTGCCTCCAGCCTTCCTCAGTCCATCCTGGGCTGGAGAGAGAGCTTGTCCCAACAATACAGCATTACATGACTTAATAGTCAAACCACAGAAAGAGATTCATCTGAAATGACAAATCCCTACCAAGTTACACGTGTTCAATATCCCAGGAGCCAGGTTCCTCATTGAGAGCTACCTATCTCCATGGCATTGCTTGGCTTTAGGCAGCCACCGGGGCAGCTGTAGACAGCCCTTCTGCATTCACTCCAGATAACCTCAGCTCTGCTCCCCCCACCTACGCTCCCTCCTCCTGAAAGAAGAGGCAAACTCAAATGCTGCAACATTACCAGAGCAAGTCTGGTCTTCCATACTGCTCTGTATTTACAACTTTGCAAGGGTAAAACGAACTCCAGTTGCCTTTTGGTGCCAGCCCCAGGAAACCCTGCAGTGTAACAGAGGGCTGCACAGACAGCTGCCCCTCCATCCAAGTACAAACAGCCACCCAGGCCCAACACGAATAATGAAAGACATTTTGACAGCCCAAACTGTTTTATGATGTCCATAGCATAAAAAGGAAGTTCTGAACTGAGGTGTGTGTCTGACACCCACAGACCTCCAGATAATTAAATGCATATACTGCATTAGATTTGCAGGAGAAATGTATTTTAACTGATCACGTGTCTCATGCATCACCCTTTGACACTCATGTTCTTGCAGCACTCTACAAGGGCTCTGACCATCCTGTACAGAAAACCTCTGCTAAAGGAGGAATATTTAAACAGTACTAGACACCCTACAAAAATGCACGGAGGGTTCTGGTTCTGCCAGATCAGTTGACATGAGCCTGTGTGTCCCAAACACCAGGGTGCTCATTTCACAGCTCACAGATGACTGTATCAGCTTTTAGAGTAGCTCTAACATTTCCTGGGCAATCCTGGTTCAATTGCACCTACCTCCCATTTCTGAAAAAGCCCAAGATGACTGCACGTGGGGTGTTGCAATGCTGCCTCAGCAGGAGGAGGATATTGCGTTGGTGGAGAGTAGAACAGCACGTCCAGAATCACATGCAAAGCAGGGATTTTCCCACCGAGCAGCAAAGATCCATGTCACTGCATCCCTCCTTCCCCAGGCGCTCCTGCTCCCTGGGGTTTAGCAGAGGAGACCCAGGCCCATACATTCTTTCTCCTTTGCTGTTTCCCCACTGCTCACCACTTCCACCCAGCCCATGCCAGCCAGGATGGGACATCCCCTACTGAAGACCACGGCCTGCTGTGAATGCCTGCAGCCCTTGGGCAGCCCAAGGAGGAGAAAAACCTCCCAGCCTCTGCAATGAACACTGCACTGAGATGAACCTTGCTGAGGTGCATGATGTGAATTCGGCCATGATAATTCAGTGTGGTCCAAGAGGGAATGACACAAGAGCTGTTCATCTGCTCAGGGTATTATAACTTACTGTTTGCCAGCGCTGCAGAGGGACAAAGGCTCATGGCGAGGCTTGTCAATCCCTTGCACAGCCCTTATTTCTGAACATTTCCCCCACAAAACCAGCGCCTGTTCTTTCCTCCCTCCCACTTTCCACTCGCCTCCTGTAAATCATGCTGTCTCCTTCCGCCCCCAAATAGGAAGTCCGGAGCAGAGACATGCACAATCTGCCTCTTCAGAAGAGCTGGGCTGAACGTGTGCCAGAGGAGCTGCGAGCATGACAACATATTTCCTGTCAGGAAAGTGACTCAGTGAGACGGGTATCAGAGCTCCTCTTACTCCAGAAGTTCCCCTCTCCCCTTGCATTGCTGAGGCATGAGTCAGAATTGGAGAGCCGAATCTCAACCCCCTCTGGATCCAACCAGGAATCGCAGAGTTCAGGTTCAAGTCTGGGTCCTGCTTGCAACTCAGTGACAAGTCATCACCACACAAAAGGGGAATAAGGATAATGACCAAGTGGGCACCTTGAATTGGCAAAGCACTTTTAGGTCAAGGAGGTGCTTACTCCTATTTGTTAATGCATCCATTTACACCATGCTTGTAGCCTCTATACATGAGCACTGTACAATACCCCACTGAACTAACATTGTGTTCAATACTTTGCTGAAGCATTTTGCATACAACCCTTTAATCCAGAAATGCTGTAAACTCTTAAAACTCACTGCAGACAGTTTTCTTCTCTGGCCTCAGGCCAGCTCTTCCCACAGTTTAATTGGGCAGACCCATCGCATGCCATGTCCTTACCCGAGCCTCTGCCGAGGGTGACCATGGACAGCCAAAGTGTAACCAGCAGGACACTGACCATCTTCATCCTGTGAGACAAAGCACACAGAGTTTCTGGTTATCTGACACTGTTTCATCACTGCAGGAAATTTTTCAACCCTGAGTGTGTGTGTTTATCCCTCCGTCCTCCCAGTGATTCTTTAATTCTGGTATGTTCTTTTTTTATTTCATTAAGATTCCTTGACAATAGTATCTGCGTGGCAGCGTTGCTCCGCCTGCAGGCAGCTTGCCAAGCCTGGGAGGTGACGGCTCTGAAGAGGACAGCCCAAATCACTGACTTAAATCACTGGAATAGTCTGTATCCGGGATCACAAGGAGTAAAATAGGCACTTGCAGGCTAGACATGCAAAGCTTTGACTCCCAAAACACCAAGGTCCTTTGCCAAGACCTCATTCGGCTCATTCCTAAGAACAAGTGCAGAAAGCACTTGTGACTGAGCAGCAGGGGCAGCACAATTGCACTGAATATGTGTTTGACAGTTCAACAGGACAACCACACCAGTGCAGACCAAACTGGCAAGGTCTGTTGCTGCTGACCTGCAAAGAGCCTGGTTGCCAGAGTCCCGACTGCTTCACTCTGCTCCTACAGGCAGTGGAGGTGACACAAGGCCTCACCAACCCCTTCCAGTCAAACCCTCCTTTGAACAGCCACCTCACAGGAGTAAACAAGCATCAGGGTTGTAGGCTTTTCAGAAGAGATCTGAACAAAGGCTTATACTTTCTAAGCAGCTTTGATAAGCAAAAAACAATCCCAGACTTCCATTCCTGCTACAGAAGACAATTTCCTGTAATTTGAGATAAATGTGCATTGCCAGAGTTTTACTGGCTGGCCGCTCTGGTATCTGGCATTCGGCTCTCAGAGCTGCTCACTCACCGGAATTAAATCTCTCTCTGTTTCTAGGTTTTTCAGGATGCAGCTTATAAACTGACATCTACTAGATGCTTTCATTAAGGGGGTGAAGGTCGCATTTGATATTCCTGGGTGCTGTCAGATCACAAAGGGAGAAGAGATGGTTTAAAGGCTGAACTTCATCAAAGCATCTCAGCTCCACCGGGCAGATGCAGTAATGAGCATGGTGATACTGTCAGGAGTGTGCTCACAATATGACAGGGAAATCTGCTCCATCGCGGTGGGTTAAGAGTGTGGGGAGAGAAGCCACAAAGCTCCTTTAAACATGTCCCTCATAAACCTGTCCAGAATATATGCAGTACACAGAAGGGCTTTGAGCATAAGCAGAGAGCACCTAAGATTGCACAGATTGCAGAGATTAACAAGAATGGGACACGTGAACTGTACTTCTGAAAACCCAGCAGCGGATATTGAATCCTTCCTTTTCAGTGCTTACATCTGAAAAGCCTTTGTGCAATGCTTTCCTTTGGCTGGGCTCATCTCAAAGAGACAAAGGAAATCCGGAGCAAGCCTGCTCTTCCCTGCACAGTCCATGCAAAGGGCTGCAGATTGCCTCTGAAGCCATCGGGCTTTAAAAAATGGGCAAGAAGCAGGGAAGAAAGTCAATTTTCTTCCCTGAGGTTCAGTTGAGAGGGCTGGTCACCCCCTACTGCCTTCCTCCAAACTGAAATGCCAGCTGCTAATCAAACCCTTCTCCACTGCCACCTACAACCAGCTCCCAATGTTACTTAAGAAGACTCCATAGAGAAGAAACAGCATTAAGTACTCCCAGCCCCCAGAAATGCTGAAGAAAAACAAAATATCTTTACACCATCAGATCAGACAGAGAGAACCAACATGTTATACTTCTGGTAGGAATTTAGGATCTTTCGGTAATTTAGTTGCTTGAAGAGAGGGGGTGTAAAAAGTAACAGGGAATCATTCCAATAATAAAGATCCCTCATGGTTCCCTCTCCATTTGTCATTAGCTAAATGCACAGCGTGTCCTAACTCACCCTTATTTTCCAGTGATTCTCTCCTGTATTTTGCATAAATCAGACTGAATGCAGCCCTGAAGCAAGCAGGAACAACTACTGACTTTGGATGAGTTTATCTTGTATAGAGCAAGGCCATTTATGTGGCCAGAGGCCAAAATAAACTACTACATTTCACTCAGTGATACATGAACTCCGCAGTGAGCTAATATTTACATCCATTAGCTATGCTCACAGGAACATGCTCCTTTCAACTGTCTCAAAGATCCACTAAGTCTTTGTTCCCATGAGCAAGGTATCCAAGATTTCCATGCTCTGCCTGCTAGTAGGAAAATCCTTGCTTCTTGCTCTACCTAACTGTAAAATCAGAAGCCTTACACAGTCATTTACTTCTGGTTCATTCCAGGCTTTCCAGAGATCTTATCAGTGGAGGCAGACGGACACAGAGCCTGTCAGATTACAGCAATTTCTCCATTACAGGAAAGGGACGCGCTTGACCACAGCCCTGGCTGCTCTCACAGTGTACAAAATGCAAGGGGCCATGGAAGGTACATGTACAGAGTCAAGAGCTGGTCAAGAGGAGCTGTCACAGCCTCCTGGATGCCCTGACTGGGCCAGCATTTGCCAATTGAGATAAAGGAATAGGAAACTCTCTGTTTGGTAAAGAAATGGAGAGCTCACACACGCAGTGAAGAAGATAAAGGGGACAGTAGGGCAGGATGGCTTCTGCAGTCCAGCTCCATTCCTGTAATTACTCAAAAAAAAAAAAAACCCACACCCAAAAAATAAAAAACCACCACACCAAATCCCCAGAAAACAAAGCCACAAGATCTGATGGTTTGTACTAAGACAGGTTCTGTGTACTAGTTCTGCTAGCACTGGGATGCTTTGCTTTAAATAGCCCCAAATCTATGGTCTACCCCAAACAGAAGGGTCTTCCCACAGCAGTCCTGTGGTCAGACAGAAGGACACTGCATCCAATCACAGAGAGGGTGGGTTCTGCAATGCCCTTAAGAACCTGACACCACAGGACTACAACACACCCTGGTCTTGCCAGGAACAGAAGAATATTCTCAACATTCTTTGTGACATCAGAAAGCATGTTGCCATTTTGCCTGCATATATGATGCAATTCCAATGGTGTCTGGTGAACTTATGCAATTCTGTAGCACTGTGCTGAAACACCAGCATCTGTGGCAGCAAGCAATGGAGCCAGAGGCCAGGGAGTGCAAATCCAGGTTGCAGCAGAGGGGTTCATACAACTGCATCCACACAAAGCAAATAAAAATAAAAGCAAACACTAAAGGAAGCCAGGAATAAAATCAGTGAGCAGAAGAGCTTACCAGCTCAGAAATCACACCACAGCTAAGAAGCAGGCAATCAGAGCAGCCAGAAGACAGCTGGAGAGCTCTGATACATCCTCAGCATTTCAGGAACTCCTCACGAGACCAATATACTCTGAGGTGCTCTTAATATCTACATAAATTAACATTTCAATAATAATAATTCATAGAACAGTTGGGGAAAATGATCCATCACAGCCACTGTTAGAATTTTTTTTAAGGTACTTACTTGATATGTTCACTTTGTTTCAAATCAGAAATTGTTCCCTGAGCACTTTCTTCTTCAAACTTTCACCTTCTGTCTACTGAGGAGCAAAAAAAAGTGGGGTGGGGGGAAACACAGTCACAGAAATGTCTCCCTAACAGCAAAGAGGGTGGAAAGTTTGTGTTTTTTTCATTTAGTATTGGTCACAAGTGGCATTTTGTCAGAAAAAAAAAATTAATATTTTCATATAAAACCCCTTTTAATAAAACACCCTTTCCAAACAGACCTCAGCAAGGAATCATTCACTCCTGCCTTTAGCAGCACAGACCCCATAGAGCCTATGCACTTTCTAAACAATTATAAAACCCAAGATAGATGTCAAATAATTAACAAAGAGAGCTGCACTCTAACTACTGCACACCTATTCTCAAAGACAGTGTACCAATTCTACAGAACAATGCTGCATTTTCCAAGAAAAATGCCTTTGTCCCTCCTAACCACAGGCATCTAGGGAGGGCTGGTAGGTTTTTTGCTTTTCACTGAGAAGTCACACTACGGCCTGCAGAACAAAAGCACCCTTCAAAACCTTGCCACTAAGTGCTCTGGCTGAAAGGGCATTTAAAATAAAGCACTTGGAGAAACAGGAAAAAAATAACTTCAGCCAAAGCAGCTTTTACTATTTTCTTTCTGTAATTCTGTACGAAGTCAGAAGCACTTGAGAACATAGCACTGGTCCCAAAAATGGGATGCAGACAGAGGAAGGCTAGCAAAATGCAAGGTGGGCTAGCTTAGGAAATGCTTTGTTTCTAAGCCACATGGACTTGACGATGAAGGCTGAGTGATGGGCTGCAGAGTGGGGCTGGTGCTCAGGAGAGAGGCACAGCTCCTCTGCTCCTACATCACAGTGTGCACACAAGCCCTGGGTCTTTGCATCACCATGCAGCAGCATTGGAGAAGGCTGCTTGATGAGTTTGCTGTGTTTTCTTATAGGGAAGAATAAATGTACAGTTCAAGTAAATTCAAAGAATCCAAAAGGCAGACAAAGGGCAGCCTGCAAAAGCAACTGCAGAAAAGTAATAGCAAAAACACTAATGGAAAATGGGAAAAGGGCCTTCAGCCCTCCAGGAAACACTTTTGCTTTTCAGTACATGCAGGAGTAAGTCAGACAAAAGGGGGAATTACTGTAGCATAAACCATCTTGGTGCCACTTACCCAGGATTTGCGCAGTGTCTCTCTGGCCCTGCCCCTCCTCCGGAGGCCATTTGGGCACTACATGGCACCACCCTTTGCTGTGGTGTCAGCAGTTCCACTCTGCCCAAAGGGAGCCACTCCTGCAGGGAGCTGGCCAGTCCTACGGGCAGCCCCCCACAGGAATGGAATATTACACCCAAATCTCTGGGAACATGGGTAGAAAGACATGCAATGGGGTTCAGAAGTCCAGTCTTTACTCCTCAGGAGGAATAAACACATTCATCACAATTTTCATTCCCAGACAGCTTCCAGGAACAGAACAGGGAGGAATCAAGCAGCAGTTTGATGATGAAAGCCATAAGCAGCTCGGAGCACTTTCCCTGCTCTGGTGCATGCTATGCCACACT